CCSWGTSRCCAAWGGTGGACACAAAAATGGCAGAGGTGGATGGAGAAAAGTTTCTCTGCAAAATTCACAGCGGAAACGCCGATCTCGGTGCTCCTCTGGACASCAAGAAACYCAGGACGGTAAAGAGACGAGCAGAAATCCCGCGGCTGCGAGACAGGATGGAGCAGGGCTCACCCCTGAAGCTGGAATCGCAGGGCTTCCCGGCAAGGCACAGGGGAGAAAGATCACAGTGCAGCAAACAGGAACCCAATGGGCAGAGATGCTGGGCTCTGCAGAAAAAGGCAGGCAAGCTCTCCCCCCGAGCAGCTAGCGGGCAGACCTCCTTCTCTCAGCGAAACAGCAAAGGAAGTGTAGTTACCCCCCCACCACACAAATACACCCACACCCAGGGCTTAGCAAGATCGTTTAGGTATCATTGTCTTCATTAAAAGCCCAGCCATCAAAAGGATGACCCGGCAATTAGTGTATCCCAGCAACAAATGGGAAATCAAAAATTCCCAAAGGGAACAAAAGGGGAAAAMTCTTWACCCACAACAGGCAGTGAGTATAAAGCAGTTTGAAGGTGGGAGTGGAGCCTCTCTGGCAGTGGTCTGAGTCTGCAGTGCTGTAGTATTTGTAAGTGCTTGTGCTGGACTGATGGATGTCTGAAAGGTCAAATCCCTCCTGATATTTAATCCTGATGTTGTAAAAGCTGTTTCAGGAGTTTTTGCACTCTGCTTATACAGGTATGGAGTAGTTGATTAAGCTGTTGTAAATATCAAGGGAAACAAAAAGTGAACATTTACATAAGATGGAAATAGAAGAGAGGAAGGAGAACAGTCTTTGAATGCAAATAATAACTTGTGCTTACTGCAGCTGAGAAGCTATCTTCCAGTTGCTGATTGTGTATTTAGAGTTCACATTTGATAAAAGCTGCTGTATTTTTTGTTAAATTCATAGAGTCATATAGGTATAGAATGGTGTTGGAGGAGGCCTTAAAAGTCATGTAGTTAATTTAATTGGTGCATATGAATGGACTGAATAATTAAAGAGAAGGAATAATTATCCTAAGCAGTGCAGAACTGGAAATTATAAATGTATATGTGTATGTATAAAAAACCAAATTGGGTTCTGATGTTATGACTACTATCATTGTGCATAAACAGGTTATAGGTGCACTTTATACCATAACAACATTATTATGCATATAATTTATTTTTTGCAACACTTAGAACCACTTTCTGTAAAGAAAAACCTGTAACTTCCTCTCTTCTCTTTTTTTATCCTCTGATTTTTCTCTTTTTAGGCTTTACTTTGTGGGGGTCCAAATATTCTTGGAACTGGAATGCTGTTGATATGGGACCAAAGCGAGATCTTGTTGCTGAACTAGCAACATCTGTTAGAAACAGGACTGACTTGCATTTTGGGTTATACCATTCCCTGTTTGAATGGTTCAATCCTCTTTTCCTTGAGGATGCCACTAATGCCTTTAAGACAAGAAAGTTTCCAACCAGTAAATCATTACCAGAACTCTATGAAATTGTGACCAAGTACCAGCCAGAAATAATTTGGTCTGATGGGGATGGAAATGCTCCAGATACTTACTGGAATAGCACTGGTTTCTTGGCTTGGCTGTATAATGACAGGTACATAATGATGCTTGTTTAACTCCTTATCTGGAATTCTGCTCTGTGTCTAGTTTGTTTCGTTTTCTGTTTGTCTTGTGGAACCTGTTACTTCTAACTAAGAGAACTGAAYGAAATACAGAATACAGATCTTTCCTAGAACTATCAAAGCTTGCTTTAGAAGAAGAGTGTTTTGTATTTTTTAAACMTGTTTGCAAATTAATCATTTAAGATGGTGTTGGCTATTCTGCTTAATCACAGTCTTCCCTAAGTGTTTACTATTGTGCAGAAACACAGGATAGCAGGACAGTTTGAGAATCTTGGTACATTGTTGTCATTGCAGACTGAACATCTGGCAGTGTATCTGAAGCCCAGAYTGATTTCTGGCAGAGCTCCTGTAAAAGTCTGGAGCTTATTTCATGAAGAAATGCCAATCTGGACCTTTCATTAGCAAAAAATGAGAATAGAATTCCTGACATTGCACTTAATCTTATTGTAATAAATTAATCGTACAGAAGTCATCCAAAATGTTAGTTCCTGGGAGGGCTATATGTGGGAAGGGATTACGCTGGTTGTGACTGTGTTTTATTCTATAAAAGTAATAAAACTTCTTGGTTCCCAGCCCAGTCCGGGACACAGTAGTGACCAATGACCGCTGGGGACTTGGCAGCATCTGTACCCATGGTGGCTTCTAYACGTGCAGTGACCGCTACAACCCTGGGCACCTCCTGCCCCACAAGTGGGAGAACTGCATGACCATCGACCGCAGCTCCTGGGGCTACCGCAGGGACGCGTGGCTTGGCGACTACCTCTCCATCGAGGACTTGGTGAAGGTACTGTGGGGCGCAGGAGCATATTCTCTCTCCTGGTTGTTATGTTGTACTGCTGAATAGTGATTATGTATTTACTTTCACAAATGCTAATATTTTAATTCAATAGTGAATCTGTGAAATAGTAAATAATTTCAATAATTTCCAGCCTAACACTGGCAGGATGGAATATCTATGTAATTCGTAATCTTTCTCTTAGTCGTTTCTACAAAATTAATTTCTAGTAAAAATTCAGTTAGTTTCTTAGAAGCCATTTCCCCTGTAACTGGTGAAGGACTAGTCTGGACAGTCTCATCATTACCTTTTCTACTAAGTTTCTCTGGTAACTGCATATGCATATGCAAGTTGATGAGAAGCAAACAGTTGCAGTTTCAGAGCTCCTGATTGAAGGCTACATATTTTCTCCTTTAAAGATTGAAACAGTTTATGACTCTATAGTAGCTTTACTTTGTAGCAAGAAACTTTCCTGACAGACATACAGGTAAACATTTCCCGAGGCAGACAGCTGGTGTTGTTAGAACATTGATTCCCTTGCTAGCTAAGGTATTAAAAAAGTTTTGAAACTTAGGAAACCTGAATGAAAGGAAGACTGATCAGTCTTTCAGAACAATGCATTTAATTGCAAAATTCAGCTAGTGAGGGAGGGATTGATTGTTATTGTTGTTTAATCCAAATCTGTTTCTAGTGCTGTCTTTGTGAAAGACAATTTCAAATTGAAGTAACCTCTTTTCAGAGGCAGAAGGTTTGAATTATTTCAGCAGCTTGTCTCCAGCTGTCTGTTTCTCAGACTTCTGCATCTCAGTCCACCATCTCTGGAGSGCAGTGTGGATGTGAACAAATTTTATAGACTTTGTAGGACGCTTCCTTGTGTTTTACAGATGTTTCTGCAAAATAGGAAAAGCATCAGACAGGAGGAAGAAGGAATTTGCTTTTCTAAGAGTCAATAAAGATGAAGTAGCAACTAAAAGCCTTATTCTACTCTGGTGCAGAGAAATCCTCTGTCCTATTGATAAAACCCTCATGACATTCTTGCAGAAGTTGCAATGACAAAGAGTTGTAGGATCTGATTATAATGTAGACTCAGACACAGTGGTGCAAGAAGGTATTTGGGGCTGTTTTCTGATGTAAAAATTGATAACAGAGCTTTGTTTTATGTGAGCTGAAATTTTGTATTAACTTTTGGGATGAGCTCCAAAGTTTCAGCATGCAGCAGTAACATAACTCCTTTGGTTCATCATTCTGAAGCGGTAGAGCAGACTTTAGCAAGTACTTCAAATATATGATTTTATTACTCATAACCATATGCTTTKTATGTTTAAAAACATTTTAGCAACTTGCAGAAACAGTGTCTTGTGGAGGAAATCTCCTGATGAATATTGGGCCCACTCACGATGGTCGCATTGCTGTTGTGTTTGAGGAGCGTCTGAGGCAGGTGGGCGCCTGGCTGAAGGTCAACGGAGASGCCATCTATGGAACAAAACCATGGAGAGCACAGAACGACACGGTCACACCTGGAGTCTGGTAAGGCTACTGAACCAAAATGCAGGCTGTGGAAAGCAGCACCAATGTTACGTGAAGCTTTGAAATCCTCAATGACTTGATGCTATAGAAATCACCATCTTAGTTTKTGTGGTGAAGGAATTAATGCCTTTGTTAGTGTAAGTAACTACATTTTAAAGTATGTATAAAGCTGTAGGTAGAGAGTGTAGTTTTGGGATGATGCTGTGGCTGAAGRGAAGGCTTCAGTGATCTTTTGCTTCTTGGTATAGGCTAATCTGTTAGGTAATCCTATTTGCTTCTATTGAGCTAGAGAAATGAAAAAAAGAATCTGGAAATACAAAATTGCTATGAAGTGTCTATCTGAACAAAGGAATATTCATTGTCACTTGATGTTTAGAAAGAAAGGAGAGGAAGAAACCAGAAATTAGTGTAGCATATTCTGCATTTCTTTTTAAACCAAAAAATGCATGGAAAGACAACAGCAATCATTTGGTCATTAAAYACAACCAGTCACTGGCCTCCCCTCTGCCCCTGTTACTTGTAGCTTCTCTAACACTTTAATGATCCATCAGGATTTTGGTCTTSACCCACTCAGTGGTTCTTTTTACTCCCAGTCCCAGTAAGATTTGGCTATCTAGCTTTAGCCTGGAGATGCTGAACTGTTGACTGCTCAGTTAATTCACTTTCAAGAGCAAAAAAAAATTGTAACTAAATGAAGGAAAAAGGGAGGAATGTTTCAGGGGTATACCACAAGATTTGCAATGACATAGTGATGAAAATAGTATTTTTAAAAACTAACTATGCAAGGTAGAAACTCTTGCTCATACTATTTTAAAATTCTTTTCATCTGCATTTTGGTATATAGATGGGAATTACCATGTTTTTTTGACTATAACTTACAATTATCTGTTAATGATTCCCCATCCCCCATATTGTTGAGCAGTGTGCTAAAGTTACTACAGATAAATCATCTGACAAGATGGTTATACATGTGAAAATGTAATAAATCCTGACTTTTCAAATCCATTTTTACAGTCTTGAAGGCACTCTTATCATTTCTAAAAATTTACAAGAACCTGACATGCCTTTCTGTTCCCTATTTCCAACCAGGTACACTTTCAGCCCTAAAGAAGGGAAAGTCAATGCTATCTTCCTTAACTGGCCAGTCTCTGGGATTCTGGAACTTGGTGAGCCACAGGCTAAGCTTGGAGAAACACAGGTAAAACACAGTGTGCACACACCTCCCCCACCCCCTCCCTCCTTTTAGGATGTGTCATATTCCATGGTGTTTAAGTTTCTGGCATCTTTGGGAATGTGTAGCTCTTAGGACAGAATACTTTGGAAGAGACCCAGCAAAATGTTTGTTTTTGTTCTGGGACCTCCTTGTCATAGTCCTCCCTTTGGGATGTTCTCCAACAAAGCTGGTCTGAAATGTTGCTGGGATATGTTTTGGCTTGCAACTAAGAAAGGCAAAGAGGCCAAGGAGCAGAGAAAAAACCTGTCGCCCCCCCCCCCCCCCCGTTTCCTGTGTAGACTAGTAACTCAGCGTGACGTGTCTTTAGAAGTAGCTGTCCTCATGACTTTGGGGATACTGGTGTTGCTGTAGTGATGCAGTTGTTTCAAGTCAAAGCCTTGCAGAGAGGGAACATACACAGAGGTTTTTGTTGCCCAGGGAGGCCAGAGAGCAAGTCAGTGTGACCCTAGATGTGCACCTTTTTTCTACGTGAAGGTCAGAAGCTGAGGACACTGATGCCACAGCTACAGTGGCAAGTAGCAGGTAACCCTATGGAAGCAGAAGTTGGTATCAACTGTGCATTTAAGGGGGAGATCCACTGGCTTATCTCTGCTGTGGTCTTGTGCACTGCAGGTCCATTAACTGCTGAATTGCTTWAGGGGTGTTTTGGACTGTCCCTTCTGGTCTCGTTCTGTATCAAAGTAGTCTGACTGGTGMCAAGATAGCTCTATGATGAGGGATAAAGAGTCATGGAAGTGATGAGAAGTGATGGAGATGCCTCTTGAATTTTGGGGATGCAGCTAGACTGTGTGTGCACTAGAAAGTACTATTCCTCAGCAGCAGGGACTGGTCTGCAGCTGCTCCAGCAGGTCACCAGCTGGTTTAAGAGTGTCACCRTAAACCTATTGGTGGTTTTTAATTCTTCAGATCAGCTTTCTCTGAGACAGCTGGCTGCACTCTGTAAGAAACAGTGATGCTCATTCAGGACATTTTCCACCATGGAAAGCAGGCATTTTGGAAATAGGTGACACAAAGCTCTGTACTGTGGCATCTAGATCMCTGCTTAGACCTAAATCCCATCCCAAATACTTCCAAAAGGTGTTTATGTACCTTCTACAGCCCTAAGTACTTCTCAAGACCCAACATGAGTAACTTTTTTACTTGCTTATCTACTTACAAWTTTTTTCCCATTACCTTTAATAATTATCACTCATTTGGTTGGCAAGTGGCATTTAAGGGTACTTGTTTAGTAAGGTAGCTATGGATCGATATTTATTTTGACAATATTACAATAATGCATACTTTAAGAAGGCAYTGTTCTAACCATAGTGTATGTTTCTATTTTAGGTGAAGCTGGCTGGTTACAAAGAAATGCTGAAATGGGTTGCTCTGGGAGAAAAGGGAATTATTGTTGCTCTACCTCRCTTAACTCCTCAGCAATTGCCATGTCAGTGGGGCTGGACCTTACAACTGACTGACATAAACTGAGCCATACTCTGTTGGAGCCCTGGGTAGCAGGGAATGCTGATGTTTTGCTCTTTCTTATGACTGGTTTTAAACTTGCTTGGCTGAGAAACACCAATAAATTCACTTTTTTATGAGAGGTGGGCTGTTTTTAAAGGATGGAATGGAACAAACCTCACMAAGTCTAGCAGTAGATCAGTGATCCTCTGCATCCATTTTGTTTCTTTGAACTTGTGAAAAATTGAGCAGCTACCTTGACCTCTCCACTTGTTTTAGTTGTTTCTGGCCAAGTTATGTGAAGAATGAGGCGGGAGGGAAACAGGCACTAAATTTTTAGAGACAAAAGAAAGAACAAAGCTCAAGCTGSTGTTCAAATGCACATAAGTCAGTTGTACACCCTCTTAAATGCAAGAAATTTAACTTCCACAAAATTGCACAGTAAAAACTGACAGTTTTAGAGAAAAGAATAAWTTTTTTCCAGCTGTGTTTAACTAGTGGTAGCTGGCAGTTTCAGCTCAGTAGGGTAATATCTGAAAGAACAGGSCTGCAAGGGTTGGAAATTCATCATAAATACGTGCAGGCAATGCATATGTACATCATAATTTCTCATCATGACAGTCAGTCATTTTACATATTMCTATTCTTGAGTAATTCTGTCCAGTATTGGGACACAGGTAAACTGAGAGAGGGTTGTGTTTTTGTATTTTGTATAATTTCACATGGGTAATACTTGCCTCTTGTGTAAAAACAAAGGCTATAAACAGTTACCAGGGTGCCTTCTGTGGACTATTAAACCAAACCTATACTTCAGTGACTAACTCTTAGAAAAAGACAAATTATCAGGAGTTGCTAGGGGTCTTCAGCTTTGGCAGAGAGACATTTCAAGCAGAGGGCAGCCTGCATCCAAGTTGAAAAATTTCCAGACTCATCATGTGCCATGATTTATAGGGATAGACACAAGGTGGTTTGCAAAGAGGAGGGAGATAAAGGACAATAAAAAGCATGAATTGTTTTTGTTTCAGTGTAGAGACTGAAGGTTTATTTTCCCTGAGTAATGTTAGTGAGTGCAAAATTAGTACTGTGTAAGTTAAATTTATTCTTTCAGCTCTGTCAGGATTTTGAGTCATGGGCCATGTCAGCTTATTCTCTTCCCTGCTAGTAATGTTAATAAACACACAAAGCATACATTAAAATATTTTATTACAATACAGACAATTGGGCTCAAAATTAATACAAATTAGGATAAAATATTTACAAGGTGATGTGTACAGTGTAGGTGTTTGAACAGCAGAAACAAGAGACTGTCTAAAAAACTCCATTCCTTTAGTATTAAGTAACAGACAGAGCAGACCCCCGGCTTGTTCAAGAGGAACACCCATCCATTGGCAAAGGCTTTCGGAAGAATGACAGCCTTTGGAACAAGATTTGTAAAGCTAAGGGGGAAAAGTCAACATTTTAGAAAGAAAAATCTGGGGAAGAAGAAAAAAGCATTACTTCATTCTGCTGCCTTGTACTATTCTTAGATCACTATCATTAGTTCTTCCCAAAACTTACACACCCCAGGCCAAGAAATGGGTTTTTTTAGTAACTTGCTGTAATACTGCCACCAGATGCCTTTTAGATGCAATAAAAACAACCCAATGAATTACAGAAGAGATTAACCACTTTTTAATAGAAAAGTCTTTACTCACAATGTTTCTTTCATTAAGAATATTTTTAATGGGTGCAACATAATTCTGTTAGAAGAAATATGGGCTCACTCCCACTTTCTTCAGAGTGTGCTTTCTGCTGGTCTGCCACTCCTACACCATTACAAAATTAATCCAAGTCTCATCAGTAGTCGCAAGGGATTTGTTATAAATACACCATCTGTTYGTAAAAATGTTCAGGTCATTTCTCTAGCTGCTGAGGGGTACTAAAAGCTTCATACACATTAGCAGCAAAATCTTTCACTTGTTCCATCATCAACAGGTCCTGGAAGAAATATAAAAAATAAACTTTCTTAATCAAACACATTCACTCACCACTATTCAACTTGTGCTGTAGTACAGAATTCCTAAGAAAAGCACCTGGCACTCCCACATGAAAACTCAAACTTCTTTCCTTTAGAAAGGTTTATTAGAAAAACTGCACGTAGAACCAAAGCAAGACAAGAAGTTTGTGCTTCTGCATGGTTTAGCAGAAGAAAAGTTCTAGAAAAAGAGTGTATTTTTGGGAGATGCAAACTGATAAAAAGTTTCTTGTGGCAATTGTTTTCATTATCTTTTTTAAAGCCACTGAAATGAAATAGAATTAAATTATTAAAAAAAATATACAACATAAACTTAAAAATTTTACTTTGGTTATTGTAAATAAGGCAGATTCTTACCTGAACAAAGTGACTGGGTGTTTCACTGCATACTGAATGGATCTGTCCATTTATTATTGGAATTATCTTGGCTAAAGGAAGACTCACACTGGAAAGACTAGAAATGAAGAAAAAATACTGACTTGTTCTGACATAGATGAAGCTACTAAACTGTGATTATAGAATTCTAAGTAATTACCACTTAAAAAGTAAGAAGTGAAYGACTATAAACTAAAATGTAGAGATGATGCGTTTTTTTTCTCCCTATCAAGCCTTTCCTTTAATACAGAGAAGTGCCAATTCAAATTCCAGTTTGTGTTCCTATTGCACACAGTTTCACACTCGCTTCTCATGCAAGAGAATTATGGTTTAGTCAGAGTCTTCACACGTGTGTATGTAGACAGGTCATAAAGTGCCAGTCTACAATCTCATGCTATTTCAAACTAAACCAGGCTTAGGCAGATAGCCAAACTACAGTCTTTGGGGTATTTTAAGTGATGTATATAGTGTATATTTAAATTAAAGCATAACTCTCTGAAAGCCATTAGTTACTAACATAAATATACATAAACCCAGTTATGGTTTATGTATATGTAAGGTTTTAATTTTAGTATTTGAAAAATAATATTTCAATGATATGAACTCAGCTTTTGGATTTGTAATGCTCTCATCACACTGCTTAAAACAAAGTAAACTTCAAAATAAAAGCTATTTTTAAACAGTCTTCTAGGAGGATGTAGAAAATCCTGAATATTACTGTATTTTATCTGCACAAGAGTGAAACCTAAAGCTCCACGGGTGCTCTGGCTCCCTGTTTCTGGATGATCAGGGCAATGMCCACCCTCTCTTCCTTGGGAGCCACAGTAACTGATGGAGGCTGGGGTGCTCACAGCTCTTGGGCTGCAGGGGAGGGCTCTCCTTCTCACAGCCTCAGTGAGCACATCGGTCAGGAGTCACCACCAGAGGGTAAACCCTCCCTAGCCCCAGAGGCAGTCTGTCTGTGTTCAGGCAAGAAAAAGGAAGATACAGGTCTCTGATTTCTGCTCCTAGGTCTGCAAGTAATGGTGGGAAAGATACCTCACCTATATTCCACTGATTTCATGTGTGGGAAGAAACATGAATCCTCCTAGCTCCCTACTTGGCCTAAGTGAGGAGAATGCAGTGATCTTGAAGAGCAAGAAGYAGAAGAATATTTCCAGCACAAGAACTCCAAGAAGGCAGGAAAATCAATAGTGAATTCCAAAACGGCTATGAACCCAAAGCATTATTGACATGAGAACCACAACAAAAGACGTTTACCTATTTACAGAACTGTTCTGAGAAAGGTCCTTTTCAGTAGGTCTAAAAAACTCTGCCATATTATCCAGCAGTCGACTGAATCCTCTGTTTAAACATGTGCTCAAGACTGTACTGAAGTCTGGACTGAAAACAGAGAATAGCAGAAAAAAAGGTTTTATTCCTGGATTTTATTTTTTCAAACTAAAAAGCCTCAGAAGAATTCAGTGCTGCAGATGTGCCTCCCCTCAGGGGGAATGTATGAGCCAGACAAATGCCAYTAGCATTGCCACCTCACGAAAGACCAGCTCCTTCAACCTGAACTCTACTCTGAGATTACTATAACCCAGATAAACCTAAAGCATTCCTCACTTCTATTTCTTACTAAGTAATAACATAGAAGGGACTTAACCTTAAAGTGCTCCTAGCAGCAAAGTGGTAAGAATAGTCTGACATTTGTCTCAGTTCCCTCATATCCTATGTTTATTATAGAAGCCTCACTTTTACCACCTCTCTGGAAGGGACACATACAACCACGCTCAAAACCATGCATTAAAATAAATTCCARTAAGCCAATACCAATGTTCACTTTATCAAGCAAGTGAATCCAATAAAATTACTCTCAATTTACCCTGCTTTAGCGGAAGAGAAGTACTCCTCTCTTCCTAATAAACTACAGAACGGGTGAGGGAGATAGTAAGTCTGATTGACAAGGACATCCTGGATATCTCATTAAGGAAGCATTATTTCTTAAAGAGTTTCAGAGCTCACAAATTTTGAAAATCCTGCCCAACAACTGATAAATACATTAATTTAATGCARAATGGTCACTTTTTGCAAATGAAAAGTTGTCAGCTTTTTATATGAAAGTAATTGTCTTACATAAACAATAYGTTGTGAGGAGGAGTTTAATGTGAATACAGAATATTTCTCTATACCTTTCTAGCATATCTCTAGTTTCATTCAATAATTTAATTGTAGCAATGTCTCTTTCTGTGAGTCCACAGGCCTAGAAAAACAAAAGACAGACATTATTCAGTAAGTGCCATCAGCAACCACAAGAATAAGGGTAGAAAGGAAAGTTGAGTATCATGGAATTAAATCAAGATGTACAAGTGATATATARAAGAAAAAATTGTTGTAAATCAAACTCTTTATAATTGTAACTGTAGGATTTTTTACTAAAATTRCTAATTACTATGTGAGCAAGCAATTTTTTCAGTTCTGACCTTCAACATTGAAATAAACCCAGCATATCAGATTAAGTTAAAGCTGAAGGTGCATGTAGTCACATGCTGAAGCCCAGGTTACACAGGTGTAATGAGGAAACACCAAGTGAAGAATGAGTTTCCTCCAGCCTGTGATGTGGTTGGAGACAAACACATTCACAAAATTTAGGAAATTAACATTACAACTGAGATTAGATACACTTTTCTCTTGATTCCTCTTCATTTTTGAGCCCAAAGCATCAAAGGACTCCAGCACACCATCCTCKTGTGCATCAGCCAAGATTCTCCAAGGCTCTATGAACTTTGTTTGCACATAAGTGCATGTGATACAATTTAGCTTAGGGCTGAGTTAAGCTGTGCTGTGTCACAGCTTCTGACAGCTTCTGTCATGGGCTAAAGGCAGTAAAAGGCTGCATTTTTCAGTACAAAGATGACATTCTGAGGGTGACACTTGTTTTCTATCAAATCTGAAGAAAATACAACTAAGCCTAGATTAAAGAGGACACTTGAGTTACKACGGAAAAGAGGCTTCGCCATTTATTAAAGACACGGATGCCATGGGACAYTAGAGGACTGTTATACACCCTTCCTCCCCCAAAAAAGCCAAACAAAAATTCAGAATGAAAAAAGGGAGAAAAGAAATTGAATCAAGTACCTGGCTAGCCAAGGGGTTTTCTTCATCTGGCATCAGATAATGACATAAGGGAGAGTAAGATGCAATGTGATCTGAATCTTTATGTTCCACTACTTCCCTGATATCTTTAAATTTCTGTTCCAGCTCCAGAAGGGACAGGGTCTGCTTAAGGGAAATACTGGAAAGGAAAAATACTACAGTGTTGATTACAAAATGAATAATGATGCTTTCTCTTTCTACCAATAACATGTGACAAGTAACAAGACCCCAATCTGCTACATGTCTTTGCACTGGCAGACACAGCCTGCTATAATAAAAACRTTATTTTGATTAAGTCAATATGCCATCTTTCCCCCTCCCCTCCATCCCCAATTTCAGTAAAACTCTTTTTTTTGGGAACAGTCATCACAACAAAACTTAAAAGCTAATCACAGAGRAATAAAAGCTCTTACCTTCCAAAAACTTTATGTACAGCTTGTTTAACAATAGTTATTAACTCAGTCAGTCCTAGAAGTAAGAAAGTCAAAATTATTCTAATGATTTCTTCAAGTCTAGAAAATATTAGGATTTTATAAATATAGTCAGCTCATAATAAGCAGCATACCATCTCCTAAAAGGTGCTGAATGCTTGATAAATATTGCTGCTGAACTTCAGGGGGCGCTAGTGGTGTCTGTGGGGRAAAAAAAAACAGTTCTGTAAAATGTCAACAATAGAGAACAATACAAAAATAATTTCAAACTKATTGCAACGAATTTCCTTAATCTTTGTAACACTGTCCAGCAGATGGATTCCCCCACCCTCTTCAACTTTGTACAGACTCTTTTTGCCCATCAACCCCTGGATCTGTGATAAGTCCTCTGGCATTCTTCAAACCTATACAGATCTATCTTCCATCTTCAGTGGCACAGAAAATTCTTTCACTTTTCATTTACATAAAAAAACCTGCATTGCAGGTRAAACTGGACCCTTCACCACCCCAGAAATTAAATCTAGTGGAGTAAGATTTACGCTGAAACCTAATCAAASCTTATCTGGCAGAAAAGAAGCTTTTAGAAACCAAGACAACATTCCAGTTTATCCCAATGGAAAGCCTCAGAGCTGGCCCTGTCAACCCACTTCTCTATTGAAAAACTAACAGAAAGCAAACATGTTTCCAGTCAAAATTCGTCTTGCCTTTCTAGAAAAGCTTTTTCAGGTTTTACAAAATGAAGCACTACCACAGTCAACTCTGGCCTCCCTAATGAAAGCTTTTCTCCATCCTGCCTTGACATGCTGCTCTTTGACTCTCAGCAGAAGCTGTCATAGAGAACAGAAGAGAGCAGAAGAGAACTAATCAGCTTGTATCCATTGTTTTTAGATGAGCCATCCAGCAATTTTCAGATCCCACTCTGTACAACAGGTACTTGCTTACTGTGATCTCTTTTTATTGAGCAGTGATACACTATATCAACAAAAAACAGGTCTTCTACCTGGCTTGTCCCCACCAATAGA